AAGAGGACCACACCAAGATACATCATAATTAAAATGCCAAAAGTTAAGATAATGAGAGAATCTTAAAAGCAGCAAGAGAAAAGCAGAGAATTATCTATAAAGTAGTTCCCATAAGAATGTTAGCTAATTTCTCAAAAGAAACTTACAGGCAAGAAGGAACTGACAAGAAGTATTCCAAGTCATGAAAGGCAAGGACTTACAACCTACATTACTGTATCCAGCAAAGCTGTCATTTAGAATGGAAGGGCAGATAAAGTGCTTCCCAGACAAGGTAAAGCTAAGGGAGTTCATCATCACCAAGCCACTTTTACATGAAATGTTAAAGGGACTTATTTAAGAAAAAGAAGACCAAAAACATGAACATTAAAAAGGCAACAAATTTACAACTATCAACAACTGAATTAAAGAAAACTAAACTAAACAAACAACCAGAACAGGAATAGAATCATGGGTATGGAGATCATTTGGAGAGTTATCAGCTGAGAGCAGGAAGGGAAAGAATGGGGGAAATGGTATAGAAATTAAGAAGCATAATTGGTAGGGAGATGTTAAGAATAGCATAGGAAATGGAGAAGCCAAAGAACTTACACATGTGGCCCATGGACGTGAACTATAGAGGGGACTGCTGTAGGGAACAGGGGTACTGACCAAGGGGGGCAAAGGAAAACAACATTGGGACAACTATAATGGTGTAATCAATAAAATATACTTAAAAAGAAAAAAATGAAAAGAAATGTTCATATAATTTTTTTAATTGTGGCCCTGATTTGCCCACATTATGCATTTTAAGGGTGAACCGAATATATCATTGTAACCAGAAGTTCATTGCAGTGACGCATTCCCCCCCCCCAAAAAAAAAAGATGGCCTAGACAACAGTGTGGTAATTGCTGGGGGGAGAGGGGTTTAAGGGGTCTAAATGGTAATGGGGAAAAAAATACAATGAAGGTTAAATAAAATACTACGGTTAAAACTGAAAGAAAGACCACAGGAGGGAGAGATAACCACTGTGATAACCACAGTCACAAGAACAGCCAGAATGTCAGCCATCCACCCTCAGGGACAGATAGGAGCTTGGTGGCCTTAGGCAGTTTATAAAGCTGGGCCACAGACATGTGTACGGCTGCCAACCCCAGGCCTCACACGACTGCCCCTCCAACCACAGTGCAAACACGGTGCATACTGGAATCTACGTTGAATCCTTTCTGACACTGCGTATAATAGGGTGTTCGCTGAATTTTTAAAGCATGGTGTGCCTGAATATTTTAGGGGTGACTTTAAAATAAATATGGTAATCCTCCCAAAGGAGCTATTTCTACATTATCTGCTAGTAACATTCACCCAAAATAAAACCTCTAAAGGGACAGCCTTGGGTGTATTTTTGGCAAGCAATACTAAATCCTAAGATTAAAGTTTTAAAAATAATAAGTATACAAAAACCCATCTTGATAGAAAATATCTAATTAATAATCTTTTGTAAAACTTCCCCAAATCAAATGAAACAAATCAGAACAAAGACTAACATTTTCTTGTAGCTAAAATCTAGAAGCGTAAACTGAAAATAACTGTTTCCTTTAAATTATTACCTATTCGTTTTAATTTTAAAAACATTGGAATTTGGTTCTTTTTCTCTTCCTACCCTGACTGCAATGGGGATGGTCATTAAAAATCAGAAACTCAGATAGTTCTTTCTGTTTTTGGTTTTTCCTCTTAGATCCTTATGAAAATGAGTAAATCCTCCTTTAAATATCAGGATGTAAAGACAATCCATTCTGCGAATGTTCCGTTTCTTAGTAAAAAGAAACAGAAACTATTTCCATGGGAACCCTGAGTGTGACTAACACGGGTGCATATGAGGAAGAACAGAGGACGAGGGAAGGGGAAGCTGGAAGAAGTGGCCTGTGGCAGTGAGGCCCTGCCACCCGAACTTCCCACAGGCATTCCCACGCAGAGTGAGCTCCTCGGACCCTTTCCAACGGCCCCAGCCTACGCTCTCGGGATGCTGGATTAAAGAAAAAGATACTCTCACAGGCTTATTATCCACAATATACAAAATTTAAAGAAGGGTATAGCCATATTTTATGCAAGATTGTAGATCCAAGTGGGGCATCTCTTACACATTTCTTTTATAACATCTAACCTCTTTAATCAACCCCTTACAACACATTTGCCCTTTAATTCACTAACCATAAGAACTAACATTTTTGTGTATCTGGTGTTTCAGATTGCAGAGAGGGAAGATACTGTATCTAAAATCTGCTTTTACTAGAACGGTTAGCCCTTAGTCCCCCATTCCTGACCCTGCAGGAAGAAATCTCTCTTCCCAATGTCTGCCATCCTTAATGACTGTACCCCAAAGGGCTGGTGTGGTTGTTAAGAGCAGAAGCAGATCTCTTGTTCAGATAATCTAAGCATGCTTGTGTCTTTATCTGCTTAAAATAAACATAAAAACATAATACTTGAAAAAAGATGGTGTGGCCAATCAGTGATGATGGCAGTAATGATGGTCACAAAGTTACTTATTTATGTATGTATTGGTCACACTCCAGTGCACACCCAACTCACACACACAATGATCATTACATGCATATTTCATACAAGCCCTGCTACTATTATCTTTATTAGATGAAAAGGCTTAACACTGAGAAAGCTGGCTACTGCCACAGGACCAGTAAACGGCAGAACCCATGTCTGCCTTACTCTGAAACTCAAACTCTTTACCCCCACACCATTCTGCTTCCCAAATATTCAGAGCCTTTCTGAAGGGAAAGGAGCTTAAGATTCTAATTCAAATTCATTCTAGTTAACACCAATTAACTAGTGGTTAACTGTTATTATCACTAGTAATCTAAGGCCATTAACACAAACTCACACCCCGCCCCCCCGACCTGGAAGCACTCACCCACACTTGCCAGTCTGGCGTGTGAACTGCGATCTTGAGTATGTCTGTGTGTGAATTTTCTTCTGCACACGGCTATACTGCATTTCAGCCCATACACATCCAACGCTTTCTAATGCAATACAATCATCAGTGAAATGGGAGACCCACACCAACCTTCCTCTCCCCCTGCCTGTCACCATCAGGTTCTTCTGCCTCACGATTCCCCACCCCCACCCCCACCCCACGGAGAGATCTGAGCAGAGTAAGAGCCTCGCTATAGGCACACTATCCTGTTAGACCAAGGAGATGGCACACCGGCCAACCATCGAAGACAGGACATTACCCCAGCCAACCTACGACACTGACAATCACCAGCAACAAGTTAGAAATCAGTATTCCATGCACCCTGGTTAAGACATATTTCATAGTGTACCTCTTACGCTTCATTCATCTCTCTGCTGTCTTTCCAGAAAGAACTATTTTGCCATAGTTTTGAAGGTGCAAATATAAACAGTCTAATTATGCTACAATTTCTGACTGTGGCTACACGTTACCCAGTTTAAGACCTACCAAGAGAGGGGATTGGACTTGCTCTTTGCTGTGTCCCGGTGCCTAATAAACACTTGCTGGCTTCTGAACAGTGACTCATCCTTTCTGTGAATGTTTAATATACAACACTACTAAACTCAGTACCTATTAATCTTTTTGTTTTTATTGTTTGAATCAAAACAGTCCATCGGTGGTAAGCCTGATAATGTACACATACTTTTGTTTATATATTTATCTATATTTAAGAATTTATGCCTCTGATTTGTTCCCAAAAAAAATGTAAAGCATCTGACTATTACACTGCATTTAGTCTAAAAGATCAAAATATCTCTATATAGGACATTCTAAGAGATATGGGACCAGTGATCCCCCCAAAACTGTCAAGGTCATGAGAACACACAGACTGCAAAACTGTCACAGAGCAGGGGAGACAAAGAAGATAGAAGTACCGTATTGCCTCTAATATCGTATTAGTTCTACATGCAAGTCTGAAGGAGGCGTGCTATTGTTCCCATTTTTCTCTAGTGGGGGTGCTGCCCTGCACATTTAGAACCTCAATTTGCCTACTAGGTTGGCAGAATCTTCTAAGTCCTATCCTAAACTTCGCCATGGCGTCTTCTCTAAAAACGGCAGAAACTAGAGTTCCTAAGGGCATCACATGGTCAGAGAACACAACCAGTATTCAAATGCAACCAGTATTCCAACAAGACTCACTAGACATTAGCCTCTAAGTTTCTGTTAACTGTTGTACAAAGGTACTCCCTATTCGAATGACAAATAATTACATCATACGCAGTCTGAATCATAGTGGACTTGAGTAAGAAATTGGATTATAAATTCAAAAATATGAGAGCGAATTCCATGGTAACGCTTTTGTGCCCTAGAGAGGTTTCATCGTTCCACAAGCACACCCAAAACCAAGACACAAAGCACCGTAACCCATCCATTTCACACACGATTCCCTAAATGTCACAGAGAAACATTCTCACACACAGTACCTGTAATACCAGCATTTATTCATCTTATTAAGCATGCTATTCTGGTTTCCATCACACATACACACACAAGTGCATTGTTTCATGGGTCATGGTGATCTTGTTTTTTTTAAGGGATTATAGAAAATGGTAAAAATAATTAAGATGAAAAAAGAAACCATTCAAAAGGGAGAAGTTGAAGATGGCATAAGATTAGACTCTTACAAGAAAAAACAGCAGCCGAGGGGAAATTTGCGACCGTGCTCCGGGTGCTCTGTGGTTTCCCGGTCACCCTCCCCGGGCCAGACTCGCAGTCTCGGTCTTGATGTCCCTCATCTGCAACATCACTACAGTAATGCCAGTCTGCCCACTGAATGTTTTAAGTTTACACAAAACCTGGCAAACAAAATGCAAATTTTTAAAAGCTACTTTCCAGCCAAAATGAGCTTTTAAAAACCTAAAAATTGCTAACTACTGGCAGTATCTGAAAATAAAAGTTTTGAGTGGATAACCGTATTTGGAAACTGGGCAAAGCAGGAGAGAACTCTTTAGCCGAGGAGAAGCAGAACAGAAGACTTCTTCGGTAAGTGCTTCTTACCTTTGACACTTGTCGAAGCCACCTTAAATACTCCGTGAATGTATCAAAACAAATGTAGTAAGTCTGGCTCTGGGGTCCAGAGGAGCTGAATGCTAAACAGTGCTGGTGCCTTTTCACTTCTTCCACCTACAAACATAAACAGAGGCAGACGAAACCAAGTCAGAAAGCAGAATCACCTACATGTTTCATTAACTACCCCCTAGATCACAGAGCACGCACCGATTTGTATCTTTCCCTTGGCATAGATGTTTCCATCACTTGAACACATGTCAGATCCTGAGTCTGACCAACCAATCTGAGTTACAAGAAAACCAAAAAAGGGGAGTGTTGTCCCCATGAGATCTCCCCAAGACCGTGAGATTCTACTTCCTGTTTAAAATTGAGACAGACCCCCCTTCTTATCTTTCTGAAGCGTCACAACAGGGGGCCAGGGTTCTTACTTCCTCTTAGGAAGATTTTTACTTAAGAATTTTTACATCAGGTGGATTTTTACTTTTGGCACTTTTGCATTACTCTGAATTACAATCTTCTTTCTAAAGAGCCGTTCAAGCATGTTAAATCAGTTTTTTTTTTAATTTAAAGTGAAATTAAGGTTAACCTAAAATAAAACCCTACTGTGAGAACTTGCAAGTCTTAATAATGCAGTGATGTGGTCAAACGAAATTCCCAAGCAAATTTATCAGCAAGTTTCTGGCAAATTTTTAGAAAAATGTTTTACAACCACTAAAGCAAGAACTGAAAAAACAAGAGGCCTAAATAGTCCTGTAACTATTTAAGAAATTGAATGAATACTTTTAAAAAGATTATTTATTTTTAGAGAGGGGGGGAGGAAGGGAGAAAGATGGAGAGAAACATCAATGTGTGGTTGCCTCTCACATGGCCCCCACTGGGGACCTGGCCTGCAACCCAGGCATGTGCCCTGACTGGGAATCAAACCGGTGACCCTTTGGTTTGCAGCCCACACTCAATCTACTGAGCGATACCAGCCAGGGCTGAATTTTTTTTTAATTAAATTTATTTTTTTATTTAAGTATAGTTGGTATACAATCTTACATTGGTTACATTAGTTTCAGGTGTACAATATAGTGATTTGACACTTTATACTTAACAATGTGATTACCCCACTAATTCTAGTAATTATCTGTCACCTTGTAAACTTAATGTATTTTTTAAAACTCTCAAAATATCAGGTCCACATGGTTTTATTGTTGATTTCTACCAAAGCTACAAGAAACAGATCATTCCAAATTTGTGCAAACTCACCTACCAAATAAAAAAATGAAGAAAAACACCCCAACCTATTCTACAACACCACTATAACCAAAAACAGATCAGAACAGTAAGAGAAAGAAAACGTACCGGCCAATCTCAGTCATGAAGACTTATCCTGAATAAAGTGTTCCATCAGAATTTAGTAATACAGAAAGGAAATATCAAGAACAAGTTGGGCCCTGGTTGGTGTTGCTCAATGAATTGAGCACAGGCCTGCAAACCAAAGGGTCGTTAGTTCGATTCCCAGTCAGGGCACATGCCTGGGTTGCAGGCCGGGTTCCCAGTGGGGGTACACATGAAAGGCAAACACACATTAATGTTTCTCTCCCTCTCTTTCTCCCTCCCTTCCCTCTCTCTAAAAATAAATAAATGAATAAAATCTTTTTTAAAACATTAAAAGAAAAAAAGAACAAGTTGGGTTTACCTCAGGAAAAGAAAGATGGTTCTGCACTGTCATAGGAACTGTGAAATCATTGATCACATTAACAGACTGAAGAAGACACCCCACTACGGTCAGGCTGCAGTTGCAGAAAAAGCACGCGGCAACCTTCCCCACCATTCACCACCCACGGTACAAATTCTCAGCAAACTAAGGACTCCAGTGAATCTCTTAAACTGAAAAGGGGTATTTATCAAACATCTAAGGCAAACTTCGATGTGATACAATATCATTATTAACCATAATAAAATCATTGATTAGACAAGTAACCAGTTTCTTTTCAATACCATAGTAGAGTCCTGGCCATTATAGTAAGACAAAGAAACGTATTAAGGAAGAAATTTAACTGTCATTATGTGAATAGGACATGATTAGCTACACGGTCAACTCCAGAGAATCTATGAATATTAGAACAAGTAAGAAAATTGAGCAAGGTGGCTGGATGTAAGTTTAATACTCAAAAGTCAACTGTGCTTCCGTACACTACAGAGGAAGCGTCATGTAAACCAATCCGTATCGACAGAAAGCAGGCCCGTGGCTTCCTGGGAGAGAAGCGAGAGGAGAAGGGTGGGAGGCGAGGGTGCAAAGCAGCACAAGAAAACTCGGGGGGGGATACCTTCCCTACCTTTTTTTAAAGTTTTTTTTTTAATTCTCATTTGAGAGAGGGGGGAGAGAGAGAGAAACATCAATGTGAGAAAGAAGCACCAACTGGCCGCCTCCTGCATGTGCCCCAACAGGGGACGTAGTCCACAGGCTGGGCACGTGCCCTGACTGGGAACTGTACCAGCGATCTTCCGGTTATGGGACAACATTCCAACCCACTGAGCCTTGCTGGCCAGAGCCAATCCCTACCTTGATTACGGTGATGGTTTAATGGTTGTATATAGCTATCAAATTGCAATCTTGGAAACATACAGTTAGAAAATGTTATCAAAAGGTACGGTTTACTGTATGCCAATTACACCTCAATAACGTTTGGTGAAGATGTACACCTGGACACCGATGTGACTGTGAAATGGTATAGTAACCACAGAAAACAATCTGCAATCACTTTGTGAAAGTAAATGTGCATCCGCCCTACGGCCCAGTTAACCGCACTGCTAAACAGGTGTCCAAGAGCAGTATTTCTTAAGGAGGCCACCACAGGAATTCGGGATTGAACAGCTGCACATTGTGAAGGGCTGTCTAACACTCTGCCTGACGTTTCACTCTCTGGGCCCCTGCTCTGTAAGTGCCAACAGTGTCTCCTTGAAGCACAAGTATTGGCATTAACTACACACTCATCCACGTCTCCACTTCCCAGATCCCCTGCAGTGAAGGTGGGGTGGTGTGACCAGTTCTGGCAGATGAGCCACGGGCAGGAGGGGCACGCGTCCCTTCTGCAGCCAAATACCCGTGAGTTGGTTAATGACCTTCCACTCACCTCTGCCCCTGCCTCAGCAGCCGAGGAGGGCTTCGCGTTCCAAATATTGTAACTGTAAGAGCGCAGAGCCTCTGCCAGGCTGGGTCCCTGTACAGTTACGTGACAAAAGAAATCTCCACTAACCCATAATGGACACGTAGTGTGAGGGAGAAATAACTATCGGCATGAGTCACTGAGACCTGGGGGGGTTGTTACTACAGTGTAATTAGCTTATATCAGCAGAGAGCATGCTGACTGCTCAATCGTTTGATAAAACACACGCACATAATACCAATGTCCCCTCCGGGCACAGCAATCTAGTGGAGAGCTACTGTTCTAGGAAAGCTATTTGCATACTAGGAGGCAAATCAACATAAGACTATTTCAGCAGCATTATTTATAATAATGAAAAACTAGAAGCAACCCAAATCTCCATCAACAGGAAAATTACTGAATAAATTACAAGAATTTAGAAGATTTATAGAGTGGAACATCACACAGAAATAAAATCCACACTTAGCAAGCTACACAGACTCTCATTATAAAACATGTTATTGAGGGAAATAATTCACTCCCAGAAGACCACACAAAAGTATGATACCATCTTTATTCAGATCAAAAACAGCAGGACATGGCTACATGATAAAACTCATTTAGGAAAATGATGGGACCATGCTCTAGGACTGCAGATGCTGGCTGGGGGAGGCAATGGGACAGATGTCAGGAGAACACAGGGAACACGGGTGCCGACCCTGCTGTTTGTCCTGACTGCATAGCGGGTTAACAGTTACTCAATTCATTAGGCATTACTGCTTAGCAAAGAGTAAATAAAATATCAATTAAATAAGGTGCCAAAAAGTCTATTTAAATTCCAAAGAGCAAATTAAATATAATAGTTGTACCACGAATAAAAACTTCTCTTACACAAATATTTTTTAACAACTAAATGTTCAGAGATCTTTACTTAACTTCATATTTGGAATTCCACATCTGAAAATGTAACCAAATGGCCATGCTCAAGTGGGGGGCCAGATCTGATTACCCCAGCAAGTACGTCTGGGTTATGATGAATTTACCTAACACCTCGTTACGAGCTCTTCTTTATATACATTTAAAAAATTACATTAAAAACTCTTCCATTTACTCTAGGTTTCCCCTTTAAGAATACGATGGAATGAGGAACAGGCAAACGTTAATGAAAACTCAGGCTGCAAAGAGTGAGTTATTTTTCCTAACTTGGTCAACTGGTTTTTAAAAGACTTAATTCTTCAACACAATTATTTTTAAAGACATAATGCAAAACAGGTTTTGCAAGGTCTGTGAGGAAAGAAAGCTATTAACTTTCCACTCACTCAGTGGTGGAAGAACACCCAATAGCAGGCCTGGGAAACAGGACAAGTTTCTGGCCCTGAATGAAAACGTTCATTACAACGGGATCTTCTGTCCTTATCTGAGCATTTCACTGCTTCCAGCCTCTGGTTCTCTGAGCATAAAAATCTTTGCGGCCACCTTCTTCACATGTCAACAGAGTTCTCACCCTGCAAACACGACTACCTCCTTCACCAGAAACTTCCAGCACCCCCCACAAAACGCGGCATTCCTTCCACTACTCTCCCATACTCCCGTTCTGTACCTCTCTCACAGTAGATACTGTTATGCCCACCCTTCATTCTGGAGACTAAATTATAACCTATTTAAAGTCAGGAACGGTGACTTACCCACCTTGGTATTTCTGGGACGCCAAGCAAAGTGGCTTCCCCACAAAGGATATTTAATAAATAGTTACATTAAATTTGCCTATGCAAATCCTTACCATCATAGAGAGGAGAGACTGTTGACTTAACAAACAGGGCATCAAACATTAAATACGCATTTGTTAACGGTGAGCTACAGGAGTAACGTCATTGACTAAATTTTCTGTAATCCATTTTAAGGACAAAATCTTCAGTAACAAAATATCACTAATTCTTCAGTGTTCAGACAACATTAGGCAGCAATGGTTTCAAACTGGATGACTGAAATACATCTAAACAGACTTTGCAGCCTGGCCAAAATTTATTTTTAAAAATGATCGAGTATTAGTCTTCTTAGAACTAGAATGTACAAGAGCCGAGGGAGATAAAAACTGACGTGGGCTATTTACTCATAAGGAAGAACTAGTTTAAAATTAGCAATGAAGGATGAACTTGCTACGTGGCCGGAACAACACACCGTTTCTTCCTGCCACGTCCGGCCTGACCTGCTTAATTCCTGATCCTGGAACGAGCAAATCAAATTTTACCAACCAAAAAAAGCTCATTTTAACAGAGGATCGTCCCTTATTTTTCCCCTCCTTATATCCTCCATGTTTTGCCTTCTTTCCCAAGTTCATTTGGCTGGGGAAGCAGGGGACGGTTCAAAAAATTTTCTTTAATATGCCCTCAATTTCCAAAACCCCATTTCTCCAACCAAATTTACCATTGCATTTCTTAGCAGATCATCATATCACTTAAAAATCAGGAAATACACAGAACTACAGTAATGACACCCCTACCAATGTTTGGAATTTATACATAGATCTGACAAAAAACATTCTCTTAAGCAATGTACTTCTTTTTATTTTAAAAGTGATAGGAATAAAATAGTTAACATGCCCAAAGAAAAGCAGCCAGTAAATGTCAGAAACATCTATCAACTGTAGCACAGGTTTTCTCCAAAATGAGTACCACTTCGGGTTCAGAAATTATGATTAGCTATAGTGATAAACTAACAATGCTATCCCCCTAGTCCCTAAATACAAACACAGAGTTATGGCAAAATGAGGTCAAAGGTTCAAGCTAGAGAGTCAAACCTTTACCAGGCATGCTTACTTGGGATGACTGTAAAGTCATGGACATACACTACAAAACACACGCTCAAGGTATCAAAAGGTGTCTCGTCATAAGTAGTGACATCATCTCCAGTCCAGACCATCCCACTGAAATTCCAGTTGCTCCACTTTCAGTCCTGTAGCTGAGATGCGCTACCACTGAAGTGAGGGCCACCACAGCCCCGAGTGGGCCAACAGACATTGTTATTATCTGCCGCTCCACCAACCAACAACGTCCACTGGTGGAATCAACAGGAACTGAATAAGACCATTAGACGAGCCAAAAACCATCCACCATTACAGAAATGGCTCAAAGTAAGCCCCTTAGTGACACTGGGAGACCTGTTAGTACCTTGTTTGTTTTACACTTACTTTTCCACCAATTAGGGGCAGAACATGCATCTTTCCAGTCAAGCTGTCTTTCACAGATGACACTATCAGGCAGGTCCCACACAGAATGACTTGGCGTCTGGTCCATCGGTTCACTGGCAACTGCATTTTGCCTTTACGGACATTATACATTCCTGAGAGCTGAATCCGTTCGGAGCTACCAGTGCTGTGAGGTTTTCCTGGAACAAATGCAAGCAAACATTTTAGTCTGAAAGAAATAAGCCTTTTTCTACTCATCAGCATACCAGATAAATTACTTGGACAACAGAGAATAATTAGAGAAAAACAATCTAATTTGTAATTCAGAGAATCTAAAACATGAAATAATGCAATTATGGTTACAACCACCACATCGCCACACGCGTATTTTAACATTAGGTGAAGGAGAGCTTTTTCCTTAAAAACCTGGGAAAGACTATGTTTCATTCCTGTGTTGTAACCCAGGTTTTATTTTCTTCTATATCCTTCACAACTTCATTTTACCTTTGAAAAAGAGAGAGCTACAGATTTTTATGAATGGCTAGAGTTAAAATACTATAGGCTGAGACAGCAAAATAACATTCAGGACCTAGCACTTACTGAAACTGATCAGCATGAATGCAATTAACTGCTGCCGTTCTTCCTTCTGCAGATACCCAATGCACGCAGGGTGTGGCAAAGTAGGTTTACAATTGTGAGCACACGAAACACGCAGTTGATTCTTGTATTGTTATTATTTATTATTGTGTTATTTTCCATCTGAACCACTGTTTTTGCCCTGCCCTGCATTTACTATTAAGGAGGCAGTTCAAATGAATGACTTCTCTGACAAGGAAACACCACTCTACAACCACAAACTGCAGTGTCCGGTGGCGCCTGTGACGCAAGGAGGGGTAGAGAGACAGAGAGCGGTCCACTGAGGCTTGGGCAAGCAGAGAGCTGAGAAAGAGCTGAGAAAGACCTGAAGAGTCTGCATTTCCCAGCTGAAAATGAGTTTGGCAGAATGACATTAGACAAGACCTACCAACCGAACAGCAGAACTACTGTGATTACCATGTGACGAAATTATGTCAACAAGGAGAAAAATACTTCCCAGTTCTGGACAATGACCACATACCATCAAAGAGTCCTGAGGCCCATGCTCCGAAATAAGTGAAGGATGCGTGTCTGCAAATAGGAGCCGCGCCAGAAGTGTTATGTTTACATGGGGGTTGGCCTAGTTGCCAAGGGCTGGCAGAAGAAACAGATTTGAAAGAAATTATATTCTTATGAATACTGAAGTTAACATAAATACCAAGCATTTTGGGCAAATGTCTCACAGCTACTGGAGAAAGAAAGAGGAAGGACGGCAGCACCAAAAATAGCTCTCAAGAAGACCCAGAGAGTGAACCTTCCCATCACATACCTCTGGGCAGAAATGTTAACAAGTAACAAAACCAGCAGGTTTGGATTTGGCTTCTTCTCTCTCCCCGTACATCAGAAATTCTTATATAACGTGTACTGCATACCACATACTTTTGCTGGGGCTGGGTCGAATGGAGTGCGACTGAGCCACCTGCCTGAACCTGGCACCCAGCAACCACCCACCGCACAGCCAGCACTCCAGTGGACCAGGGGGCGCCACCAGATGCTAACGCTCCCTCCCACAAAGCAGCAGGAAGCCCAGGAGACTTCAAAATAAATACGACTCGCCCGAGGCTGCCAGTGAAGGCCCAGACCACAGTCACTGACTTGTCCCATTTATACCCAAAGAGGAGGCTGCCCAGGCTCCCAGTCTAAGAACTCCTTTCTGCACGACAGAGGCCTTTCCTGCAGGGACGAAGCGGGAGAGAAGAGACTCCGAGGAAAAATGGAAGTAACTGCAAGACCAAAAACAATGGACAATGGGCACGCAGACTGCCAAAACCCAATTTCCGTGGCCAACGTCTGTAACAAGGGATCTGATCTAAATATGGACACACACTGACATACAGACTAATGTATGCAAAAAAAAAAACAAAAAAAAAACCCCAGGCATTTTTATTCAGCTGCATCACAAACCAACTTCAGGGATACTTCTTTGTTAAACTGTCGTATTTATCAACCTGTCACATTGTAAGTAATCAGAGACTGAGGCAAAAGACAACAGGGATACATAAGGAACAGTCCTTCAATTCTGCAGCTCCACAAAAACCCTAGAGAAGGCCCCAGAGCAAATCCCCAGATGGAGTGGGCTAAGGTCGGAAGGGATGTAGCACCGTAGAGAGACACCAACAGAGGCAGGCTTTTCATGCCGCACTCAGAAAAACTCCCAAGGGGCCTGAATAGTCCTGGAGACTAATGGTAAGATCAGTCTGTCCTTGGAAAGCCCTAAACATCCCAGTCTGAACCAGATAAATCACTCTTGTTTTGTTCTAACTGAATTTCAACATCCTTGTTGTCTGCCGCCTCCCTGGGCCTTCCAAATCAGACACACCCGCAGCGCTCTGAGGCTCAGTGTGTACCAGCTGGGATCTGGGAAACACGGAGGTGAATGAGCAACGCACACCTGGGCAATCACCCAGGTGCGCCCTCCTGGTGGCAGACTTCCTTATTCTGTGACATGAGGAGTTATGTGAGCTCTCCCTGCCAATTCTCAAACTTCTCAACTGAGAGGAATTCCAATTGTCCTCTACTCTAATAAATATTGACAATACCAAAGTGACCACAGCCTGCCACTGTCAAAGTCAAAGTCAGTTCAGTTGTTGTAACTTTCACTTTTGAAATGTTACTCTAATTCCCTACAGGCTTGAGACATTTCTTACGTGATCCAGGAGAAAAGACAGACAACAAAAGCAAGTATTTCAAACTTGAGATCAAGAGCTGACAACATAAGGTGATTTAAAACATACACTTTCCTTTCTTACTCAGTTGGCATGTGGTAATTTGATAAGGTCAAACATATACACACCCATAAAACCACTGCTGGAAAACGAGCTCACTGGTCATTGTAACAGTTTCCGTGTGCCCATGTGACCACTCCCTCCATCCCACCTGGGACCTCCCATGCTCCGGCAACTGCTGATCTGCTTTTGGCCACTTTTTGTCCACACTGCTCAGTGTGCCAGGAGTCCCTTGTTTTTTACTGCCGAGTAGTATTCCACTGTGTGAATACGCCCGTTTAACTGCCCAGCTGCGGGTGGATACATGGATTGTTTCCTTTTTATTTTTCTGCCCACGTCCACCCAGAACATTGGTGTACGAGTTCTTACACGAGCATATACTTCTATTTCCCTTGGGTCAACACGCGGAACGGGAAGGGCAGGGTTGGACCATTCTACATCCCCATCACCGAGTCAGGAGAGTCCCAGCTGCTCCAGAGCACACCTGGTGGGGTCTCATTGCAGATTCAACCTGCCTTTCCCTAATGATTGAAGTGCTTGGTCCCCTGTATTAACACTCCACTGATCATAGTTGGATGGGTCAGTTTTGTGGTTATTTCTTTTTTTTAAAATATATTTTATTGATTATGCTGTTACATTTGTTCTATTTCCCCCTTCATTCCCCTCCACCCTGCACATACCCTCCCCCACCATTCCCCCCCTTAGTTTATGATCACGTTTCAATTTCTTTAGATTCTATACCTCCCCTACTATTCTTGCCCTCCCTCCTATTTTCTACCTACCATCTATGCGCCTTCTCCCCCCTTCTCCTCCTCCCACTCCCCTGTTGCTAACCCTCCATGTGATCTTCATTTCTATGGTTCTGCTCCTGATCTAGCTGTCCTCTTAGTTGGCTTTTGTTTTAGGTGTGGTTCTTAATAACTGTGAGTTTGCTGTCCTTTCACTGTTCATCTTTTTTATCTTCTTTTTCTTAGGTAAGCCCCTTTAACATTTCATATAATAAGGGCTTGGTGATGATGAACTCCTTGAATTTGATCTTATCTGAGAAGCACTTTATCTGCCCTTCCATTCTAAATGAAAGCTTTGCTGGGTAGATCAATCTTGGATGTAGGTCTTTGGATTTCATGACTTGGAATACTTCTTTCCAGCCCCTTCTTGCCTGTAAGGTCTCTTTTGAGAAATCTGCTGACAGTCTAATGGGAACTCCTTTGTAGGTGACTGTCCCCTTATCTCTTGCTGCTTCTAGAACTCTCTCCTTCATTTTAATCTTGGCTAATGTAATTATGGTGTGCCTTGGTGTGTTTCTTCTTGGGCCCAACTTCTTTGGGGCTCTCTGAGCTTCCTGGATTTCCTGGAAGTCTATTTCCTTTGCCAGATTGGGGAAATTCTCCTTTATTATTTGTTCAAATAAGTTTTCCATTCGTGGCTGTTCCTCTTCCCCTTCTGGCAACCCTATAATTCTGATGTTGGAACATTTAAAAATGTCCTGGAGGTTCCTAGGCCTCTCCTCATTTTTTTGAATTCTTGTTTCTTCATCCTTTTCGGTTTGGTCATTTTTTTCCTTCTTCTGGTCCACTCCTTTGATCTGAGTCCCAGTTTCCTTTCCATTACTACTGGTTTTCTGTGCATTTCCATTCATTTCAATTAATTTAGCCTTCATATGTTCCTCTAATTTGTGACTAAAATCCACCAGTTCTGTGAGCATCCTGATCACCAGTGTTTTGAACTGTGCATCTGAAAGTTTGGCTATTTCTTCATCGCTTAAATTTATCGGCTCTGGGGCTCTAAGTTCTTCTTGAGTCATGTTTTGATCTGTTCCTGCCTGTTAGGTCTGAGGAGCGGAGCCTTAGTTGTTCACCAGGGCGGGGCCACCCAAGTCACTAGTTTGTGACAGTGTATGTGGGGGCAGGTCAGAGAGAGGCCACCCAGATTGCTGGTTTGTGACGCTGTAGGTGGGGGCGGGGTCAGAGAGGGACAATGGCGGTCCCCTCTGCCGCTTCCTGCCACTGGGGCCTGCATGGTCTGTCTCACCGCTCCCTTCTTCACTGGTTTATCTGCGCACAAATGTGTGACCATGGTCAGCCTTCAGTGAGTCCACCACCTTGCACCCTCAGTGGGTCTGCCTGCTTCTCCACACCTGGGATCTGCCCACGGCTGCTGGCGCACCTGGGTCACACACCCGGGTCGGTCCAGTGGATCTTTCCTGCCTGACCTCACTCTGCCGCTGGCTCTGCCCCTCTTACCGGTTTGGCTGAAGGGTTCGTTGTTGTCAGGCTTCCGTGAAGTTCAATTTTCTGTGGTTTTGGCTGTGTTTTTGTTGCTAAAACTTTGTTGTTTTT